TAATCTAGACAAAACTGAAATGTAGTTCATCTGTGTTAAATTATGTATTTCTCTTATTTGGAAGTCATCTAGAATTACAATTGGCATCCTTATGTGTTCTCGAACCTCGCCGGAAGAGAAGAGAGCGAGCTCTCTTATCTATCACATTATGATAGAAATTGCCTGATAGAAATTCTCAAAGAAGCTGCAGTATGATGAGGATGGGGAAAAAACGAGTTGGATTTAACTGATATAAAAGCCAGGCAGTTTCTCACTGTGACACTCGTGGTGTGGCTTCTAAGGCAGCATATGTTTATGCATATCTTTGGATACATGCATCTAGTGAGGAAGCTGTTCTTTTGGGAAAGCAGGGCTGCAGAATCATCTGAGGATCATCTTTTGTGCCAGATCATTAATTGATTTTAAAATTGTCACAGCTTCTGTAAATCCAGACATAAAAGAAAGTATGCAGCATTTCACGTAGCTAATGCTAAGATACATCCTGATTTTCATTCCCAGATGGCATAGTGAACTTCACCTCCATACATAATGTTTTTAAAACTTGGATGCTCAGTGTTTTATAGATGAAGAGGTTGTTGCTCTCTCATAAATGTTAACTGTGAGAGCAGTCTGCATAAGATCAAGAGGCATCAAGGGATAATGTAATTGCAATTTTCCAAACAACTGGATCTGAATGAAGATTCATTATAAAAAAAAATAAGACAAAATAGATCTCACAGTTTCAGCATAATTAAGATTTTTGCCAGTGACTGTTATGGGAAAACTTTCTTAAATATTTTACCCTTAAACCTTTGAAAGATGTGATGTTAGATGAGCAAGATTTTAATTCTGCAACCACTTTATTAAGCAAAAGCAGCTCTGATTCCCAAACTTGTAACTGACAAAGAGGACCAGAGCTGTAATTACCATATTTAATTACCTTTTTTGTTTGGCTTTCCTAGTGGAAAGCTTCTTAAGTCAATCAAGATGAGGAGAAATTATGTTAAAGTGTAAAGTGTTTTGTTCTTACTAAAAAGTAAGAGAGAGGAAAAAAAACCAGAAACTGCTCCTACTAATACATAATTATATAAAATATATATGAAAAAGTAAAATTAGGTTTGAGCATTGCTTTTTATTGGATATGGATTTAAATTATGCAAATAAGTCTGCTCTTGGGAAATCACACATTAGTATTCTCTTCAGCAAGGTGGTTAAGCATGCCTAAGCATGTCCTCTGCTTTGCACAGGCAAGGAACAAAAAGGAAAACAACCCAGCAAACTTATAGAGGGTATAAAGGGGAAATAGGGCTTGTATTTTTAGTTATTTTTGGTTTAGTTCAAGTAAGTTTAATGATAAGTATAGAGGCTTCTCTATAAAATTTCTGTTTATTGTGAGCAGTATTAAAGCTCTATTTTAACAATGTTAACAAGTAAACACTTGACCTCTTACATGTTACTGAGTAGAGATCTTTTTCTGAAAGAGTCTTAGCAACACCCACTTGGTTAATTTCTGAGCAGCAAGCTATGTCTGTGTTTTAAGGTAGATTCTTGTATTAGTGAGGTAGTCTCTCATTTCCTGAAGCAGTATCTTCTAGCACAAGTGTTTTTTAATGCCTTTTTTTTTTATTTCATTTAAGTGCCAGTGCTAGCTCTCAACTGCACAATAAAGAGCTAAACCCAGTTGTAGACGTCTTGGAGAGTTGACTGTGATTTTATTATGGTCTGTCTTTTTATGATGTTACTTTATCTTAACATGTAACAGAGAGGAAATGATTTAAGTAAATCAGTAACTGATATTGCATAATGAACTTCACATGAAGTAAGGTAGGGAAGAGGAAAGAACTCATGTCAGAATAGTGCAATAGACTGAAAATTGATAATAGCTTTTTTCTGGTGAGTTAGATTTCTTCTGGATAGACAATACAAAAATGGGAGCTACAAGATGAGTAAAGCATTTGGGTTTTGATCTTCTGTTTCTAAAACTAAAGACCACATGTCATAATAAGACGCTAATCTTATGCAGAGTGATAATGAGGCCATTCCCAGGTGAGTATTACTGTCTATTCTGCTGCAAAAAGTACTTTGTCTGAGGAAGACGAGCACAGAGCATACAATGTGAAGTGCTAGCACAGCTAGTTATAATACAAGAGTACTTTCTTGTTAATATTATATGAGAGAAAGTAAAACCTGACAAATTACACTGGGGTTTTTTGTGTGTTTCCCCTTACGTTTCAGCATATGAAGACATGAAATTCCTGTTTTATATTCACCTTTCCAAACCCTGATGATATGTGTAATAATTTTATTTTAATACAGAAATTGATTTCCTATGTCCCTTTCATACTGCAGCTTCAGAGACTACATGGAGCGATGCAAGTCTTTAAAAAGCCTCTTAGCTGAATCACTCTTGAAATTTTTATATCTTGAGAATTTTGTCTCAGCATTTTGAGTTATGATCATTTAGTAATAAGAACAATAGTTTTTCCATCTCTCAGAATTCTCTACGAAGAATGAACTCATTTCACATACTCTACAGGGTAGCTGGCCAGTAGTGGTATAGATGGCTACTTTTCCTTATAGATTGATTTTATGAGTATAGATTTAATGAAATTTCTTAATGTTATTTTTATGCTCTAGAATTGTATATATAGATCTCCTATCTGTTATTAGATAAATCTGTTGATCTTTGATGGACTGTGCTATATATAGTGTCTGTGAACTGGAACTGGCTTAAGCAACAAACACTGCACAAGCGGAATTGCAGAAATCATCACTGAATTTCAGTGGTTATTTTGAAAAAGGGTGAACAAGAGAGAAGTTATCTGATATTATTGTGTTATGTTAATTTAACATTCTTATAACACACTTTTTTACTACATCTTTTTATTGTGAGTCTTTTGACATCATCAGCATATGTGTGCATACTTATAGCCTTTATCACAATATATTCTTGCAAAGCTGGTTAATTGTAGTATTGGAGAACAGTCCAGGTTGTAAGGGATCTTGAAAGACCATCTAGTCCAAGCTTTCCTGGGAAGGGGAGCCTAGATGAGATTGTCTAGCATCTTGTCCAGACCTTGAAAACCCCCATTGATGAGGACTCCACCATGTCCCTGGGGAGGTTGTTCCACTGAATGATTTATCTCAATAATTTTTTCTCATGCCAAGATGACACCTCTCCCAGTGTAGGTTGTACTCCTTGCACCTTGTCTTCACCATGTGGTTCCTCATGAAGAGAGAGCCTCCATCCTCTTTGTGACTGTCCTTTAAGTACTGATGAGTTCCCCCCAAAGCCTTCTCTTTTCCAGGGAGAAGGGGCCCAAGTCCTTCAGTTTTTCCTCATAAGGCAGATTCTCCAGGCATTTGATCACTTTCAAGGGCTTTATTTGGACCTCTCCAGTCTGTCCACATCTTTCTTGATTTGTTGGGTCCAGAACTGTAGACAGTAGTCTGGGTGCAGCCTAACAAGCACTAAGTAGATTGGGATGATCATCTTTCTCTCTCTGCTTATAAAGACCCTGTGGATCAAGGATTAAAGATTAATCTTAATTAAGATTAAAATTATTTTTGTTTCATACTGAGATTTCAAAGTGATTGAAATGACCAGGGTTTGTTATACTGTTTGTATGTTATGTTTGTTATGCAATCTCTCTGTGTTTGGATTCATGGCCAGTAGTGTCAGACATGTTTCCTATTTTATTCTGTTCTTTATATGTGAATATAAATATATATGAATATATTTGTGAATATAATGAATATGTGAAGTTGCAAAAGATATATTTCGGTGCTAGTCTTCATGTCACTGGTCAGCCTTCATAAATGAAAGTAGAAGGTTATATGAAGGATTGTGACAAAGATGCTCTGACTCTTCTTTGCCTCTCAAGTTTCAGTCTAGATCCAAATCTGGCTCTGGTAAGGAACCCTTGTCTCATTAGTCAGTTTTTCTCTTGTCAGGAGCCAGCAATGCTGACTGAAACAAATTAACAGGAACTGTTTGGAAGGGACAGACAGAAGAGTGCTTGTGTGACTGTTCAGAGATGTTCAAGAAAAGAATTGAGTTACATTTCTGCTCATTTCTTAATGTGGAAATATTAATATTTCATGGTTCTGTGGCTGACAATCTTTCATGTTTATTTACATTGATGGCAGACAATTGCTTGGCTGAAGGTTCAGTTTATTGCCAAAGACACTAGAAATTTTCTGTAAGGGTCCTTTTCTAGATTCAGGAGGTACATCTTTCTCATGATGTATTTGGGAATGGCTGCCCTGTGCAGGTTAAACCACTAAAGAGAGAATATGGTCTGGGACAAGATGGATATTGGTCTGTATTCTTCTCATCGGTTTTGAATGATGTAAAATTCCTGTCTTGTAGTATTTGACATTAAGTTAATTACACGGGGCTTTTCCTTTCTGTGAGTTACCTTTTATGTGAAACCTATGCTTCTTTCTAAAGCAGTTATTTTCTCATATATAACATATATTTGATGATTTGAGATGCCAAAGGAATCACTCATTTACCTGTATGTGTGGTGTTTTCTGTAGAAGTCCAGTCGGTTTTACTCTTTCTCAAAATTCCTTCTAAGGAGTAAATTTTTTGAAGAAAATTCTTAAAGATGTTATTTTTTAGCTAAATAATATGAAATGGAGAAGAGGAAACCTAAGTTTAAGTTATTCTAAGATCAGCCATTTCTTTTCCTCTTCTACTAAGTCTACTTAACCACCTTGTACCCATTAAATTTTCCTCTGAAACTTGTGAAATGAAAGAAGATATCTGACATGCTCAGTAGACCAATGGGTGTGGAGATGTAGAAATATGTGCAAATACAGAAATAGTAAAATAATACCCTGATTAAATTATTGCAGATACGTTGGGAGTGGGCGAGATTGTTTCTCACCCTGCCTCCTCCCTAGTGAAGACACTTGTTAAGGTTGTTTTAACCAGCAATACTGTAGTGCAGGCAACAAACTCAAGCTACCCCATTAATCTACCAAGACAATACAGATATTTCTGTATATTGCAGGAGGAGGTCAAAATGACATTAAAATACAGTCCACCATTATTCATCTGCCTTTAAAACGAGACAGTGCGATCCAGCCTTGCAGGCTGCTCTGTGCAGCTGTATTTCTAGATGCTCATCATGTCTGCAGAGCACCTGAGGGGAACATCCCAGGTAAGTAGAAACCCAGCAAAGTAGTGACCTGGAGTAGTGCAGATCACTGAGTTGCAGGTAGCTGCTACACCAGTCAGCTGGTTTGGAGAAACAAGAAGCAGATGACTTTTCTATCCCAAGTTCATTGACTAAAACCACGCTTAACTTCTTCACGAGCCTGACCTGAAGGAAGATGTAAAGACATGTGAATGAAGGGCTTTAATGTCACTCAGTTGGATTTGCAGGCAGGTGTTGGCTTCATCTGCTGCCTGGTAGGTCTTTTACAGGTCATGTAGTCTCATTTTCACTAACGTGATGGTCCTAATATGTGATAATTGATTTCCTTTGGAGCACTGGGGGTGGGTGTAAAAGCATTTTTCTCCACTGTGATCCTATCAAATGATTGCTGCTACCCTGAGGATTTTTGGAATGGTTTATACGAACATTATGGACATAAGTCCGTATTAAAAAAAAAAAAAGAGGAGGGAAAGGAATTACATAATTTATGTAATTTAATATTTTATTTATACAATCAATTATTATATAATTTGTTGCTAAAGGAGACATAGAAGTGATCTTATTGTAATTTTAAATATATTGATAGTCATTATGATATAACTTACCTTTCCCAGATGTTTAGTATGATTCTACAGCTGTCAAAATGAGCAGACTTCAAAAACTGACTCATTTACAGAAAGTGGTCTCTTGCTTAAGTCAATTAAAACTGCTTTTCTAAACTTTCAGCTTTCTATTTAAGAACACAACTATTGGGATTTTATTAAACTGGAAAATATTGAGTGATGTCCACTACTTTTTTTTGCTGAGCCCAGGAGGCCAGATATAACTTTGAAAAGTGAGAGACTCGGGAATAATTTGGTACAGTGGCAGAGATGACAAACCTTGAGATGAAATTTTGATTTATCCGGAGTACTTTTTCAAGGAAAGCGTAAAAAAAACTTTTATGTGTTCCATTAAATCATGTTTAAGTGCTGTTAGTTGCCAAAATGCTCAGTGGCTAAAGGGGATACTGGCTGTACTGCAAAGTTCATCTCATTCAGCTGCTTTTAGTTTGTCTTTTCCTGAATGCTTGTTATTCGATTTTCATTGTGTACTAATGCACAAAGCTTCCCTAGTGAACTGGCTTGCTTAATAAAATCTGTCTTGCAAGCAGGACAGATGTAAGCCTCATTCACTGGAGTAGGTCTTGCCTGTATTTTTTTTTAGGAAACGAGCCTGTCAGGGCAGACTGAATTAGGACTGTATAAGCAGGTGTGATTGCAGTCGTGGTTCTGTACCAGTTATTTAAAGAGAGCTTGGGTTGTGATTTCTTTTAAGGGTTTCTCAGACTTAAACTTGAGGTGAAGCTGAAGAATTGCAAGTCCCAGAAAGACAGCTGGCCTAGTTTCCCAAGGACACAGTATCTGCAGTTTCTTTTGGCTTCTGTACAATTTCAGAGGCTCAGTGCTTTGAGAAACTGGGTTGAGTGGCAGATAATAGTGAAATAGCCCTCAGGAATAATCATCAGATTAGGCTTAGTCAAATGGCTTTACACTTCTGATATTTTTGTTTAGTTAAGAATGCAATTAAAATAACCTAATTCGAATAAGATTTTTAAATGAAAAATGCCCGTGCATGTCTGTTTAAAAAAATACATTGTGAAGCTTATCTGTTTTCTGTATGACAATTAAAAACTCATTTATGTTTTTATGGGCATAAATCTGCATCCTGTCATGCAGTGCAATATGTTGGTACTTTGCCAAAAAGGTGACACACTGCAGTGCTATGAATCTGTTGAAGTCCAAACAAATTTGTCTCAAGAAAATCGTTGAAAATACATGCCATTCTGATTGAACAAATCAAAATTACTTCAATCTATTATTAATTAAATTAGGTTGCTTCAAAATTCATAGCAGATGCCTGGAATGACCTTACTTAATGCTCTCAGGGCTTTAAGTATCTTCAGAGAACTTGGATTAGCTGACTGAGTACACTGTTAAAGAAAGAATGTCCTATGTGAGCAAGTTGTCCCAAAGGGATAAAACTGCTACATCTCAAATGCCCTGAAGGAAATACATACCTAAATGCATGTGATAAAAGGCAGCTAAGGTATCAGATAAGAATCTTAGAGGTTCAAATTTCAAGATTAGTATTTTATCCAGATTGAGAAGTAGAGGATGTCATGTATACATTGCAAATATAACCTGTAAGGAATGCTTATAAAATATAACGTGGTTCACAGTTAATATTTCAAGATGAAGTAATTGATTTGAGATGTCACTGTGATTTTTGAGCTGTAGCAACATAACCTACACAATTCCTGTGATGCTTTTAGAACTGCTAGCTTTGGAAGCTGCAGAGCGAACTGATGGAATTTTCCATCAAAATGGTATAGGTGGAGGTCTGAGAGTGAAGCCACTGCTGCAGCACTGTTCCTGGAGTTGAGATGGATTGTTTTTCTTCTATCCAATGCATGGAAATTTTCAACCAAGCTTCTGTATATCTTGCACTTGTTCACACACAGCTTTGGGAGCATATGCTTATGTTTATAGTAGATATAAATACTTATGGAGTCTCAGAAATATTTGAATGACTGTGTGCATCTGTGAACCTGCGAACCTTTAGGGATGGATTTTAACAGGTGTAAATCTGCTTCTAATTCTGATGTGTCTGAACACATGCCATCTCTGCAAAGCCCATGTACACAATTCGATGACTTTGTAGAAAGAGAAGGCTGACTGCCAAGAAAAATTAACCCTGTGTCTTGTGTCACTTAAGCAGTTTAATTGGCTTTCACACCTAAGGCTGAAATAAAAATGAGCTACTGCTTGTCACCATGCTCTGAGAGACTGGTCTCGTTGTAGAGTAACAACATTCATCTGCTTCAGAAGAAATATATTATAGCAGACTGTGCCCTACTACACTGGAATTCAACTGCCTGACCAAAGAAACAAGCCCCCCGGTGCAGTGCAGAGCCCTGGATCAGCTTCTCACATGCATCTTCCATGTCCAAAATAATCCTGACGAGGATTCTTGTGTGCTGGGTGGTTCCATTCCTTACAGCTTTCTTCCTTCCCATAGTCTGCAACATAGTTATGGTGATGCAAGAGTGTACTTTCTTTCCAGCTGGCTCTGAAGTGGGTGTCACTGATCTGATGTTTTGCAGAAATACTGAAACCGAGACTCCAGGATTAGATATTGTGCAAACCTGGGGGGAGGGGAAAATGAAAAACAAAAAAAACAAACAACAAGAAAACAAGCAACTGAAAAACCCCCAGGTGCTAACTCAAGCAGCAACAAAAATGAAAAGGATTCGATGTGCAAGAAGAAAGAACAAAAGAGGAGAGGCCAGTATGATCATAATTATTATGCACAGTGGAGTGTGAATCAAATAAAGAAAGGATAGATGGAAGGACCAAGAAAAGAAAAACAGAGAAAGTGGTAAACAGAGGAAGGACTGAAGGGTAGGCAGCCTGGAGAATGTGCAATTCCTCTCTAACTTGAAGAGGCTGTGTGGGAGAAGACTGGAGCCAATACACAGTCCACAGAAGAACAGACATCTCACTTCACATTTACAGAGTGTGGGTATAAATCATGTTTCTTGGATTGTGCCAGTTAAGCAACTCAGCCCCCGAAGGCAGGAGACTTTCCTCAGCCTCAGTTTTATGGCTCTGGTTGAACACTGTTTTATACTTGAGTCCAGTTGAAAGCCCTGGGTTAGAGCTAGGCTGTACAGGCTTCCAGCCTTGAGTTTTATAAGAAGTGATTTCATCTGTAGGAGCTTCCTGTTGTGCCCTGCCATTAAATGAGAATGTCCATTCAGGGAGGGAGAAGGATGGTGGGGGATGTACCAAGTTAAAATATGAACAGAAAGAGGTATTAATATCTCAGATAAGTCTGCCAATAAGAGCTCCCTTATTAGCGAACCTGTGAGTCAGGGATGGTGTTCCTTGATATGGTTTAGTTTCTTTTCCTGTTTCTTCTTGCATCAGGATGCTACTCTTTTTGTAACCAAAAACTCAGACATCAGAAGGTAATTTGGGGCCATCACTAGGACAAATTTTAACAAGTCGCTGGCTCAGTGTTGTCATCAGCTCTGAGTACTATTTACAAAAAAGGCTTGTCCTGCCAAAAATGTGAGCTTCAGTTGATCAATGTATCATTATCTCCTTAAAAAGGAAAATGAAACAAATCAGTTCATCAGATGTTTTTTGTCTTTTCTATGTTGCTGTTTCTAATTTAGAAATTTGTTCTGAAACACTCCAGGGAGAGGGAGAAGGATAAAGGAATAATTTTTATGAAATGGCTCGTAAAATAGGGGATTAATGAAGTTTGAGATGTTAGCCGATATTATGATATACCTGGATGTGTCACTTATTTCTTAGGGCTCCATTTTCTAGAGCCATAAAAGTAAAACTGTCTTGATGCTTCCTGCCTACTTTTTGGATATTAGTCCTTGCAAAGAGTATGTATGTTTGCTGTTGGCTTTTATTTTTTTTTTTTTAATCAGTTCCTGAGGCTTTTAGTCATTTGAGGGATTTGAATATGTTTTCAAACTAAATAATGTCTCAGAAGGCTGTCTTAAAGTTGCTTTTTCACATTGGTGCTAATGCCTTTCTCATTTTTGTATCATTAATCTAACATTTTTGTGACTGTGACCTACTCTGCTTCCATTTATGTCATTTGAATTGACTTGCTAATGCCTATTATCCCTTAACAACAGAGAGAAGCATGCCGATTAAAAAAAAAGTTATCTATGTGGAACTTCTTATTGCTCCTCTACCACAGCCTTTATTGTATTTTCATACTTCTGGTGTCAAAAGAGTGGATTTCAAGTTAAAGACTTTTTTTCAAGGTATTCATGACATTGAAGTCAAATACTTTCCTTAGAAATCAGACAGTAGCTCTTACTGGTATAAACATATGCCACAATGTGCTCCCCTGCCCAAGATGTAGACAGTTCTTTCAGCAGCCTGAATCTGTGTCCTCTGCTCCCATTTCCTCTTCCCTTTTCCCCTGAAAGC